AGATAATTAGCTTAATCTATCCAGAAATACCAGAGGTTAAATTGGGATTAGTATCACTTCTCTGCACTGTCCTCCTGCTTTCACACAATGATTCTCCTAAATTAATCAAAATGGATATTAAACAGTAAGCATGGCAGAGTGGGTGTTTCTGAATAATACTGTGAAAATTGTGAAATCAACTTTACATGTTTGAAAGAGTACACCTTCACAGTTCAGGTCTTATGCAATTAGAATAATGAAATAATCGCATCAGGCCTAATGGACAGTACATACCTGACTCACATGAATGATTATCAAATAGATTTTTCAAACCAAATTTTTAGTAAACATGTGCCCTCACAGCCTCTGAATCACAACCTGGTCCTTTAAACTTTGTGTTGATGATATGGGTCTTATTTCATTCACTGCATCCTTGTGCCTGCCAAGTGTCTCATCAGCACAGTTACTCTGGCCCTGCTGCAGGAGGTCAATTAATTTCTAGGGAGGTCATTGACTGCCAATTAAAAGTTTTTTTTCTCTTTTTCAAGATTTACAAAGTAAGTGCGTTATTTTGGTGATTTAAATGTTGCCTCCTGGTGTAGTCCATACAAGGCAAGGGCAATTAATCAACCTCAAAGTCACTCAAAGTGAGGAATAAGAGGAAGCATAAAGTGATTGAAATGCACTGAGATGGCTGCATCCTACTTAATTTTCAAATAGATGCACTTCTTTCAATTGCCGATTACAGTATGCACTGGCAACGCTTTGTGGTGCGTCAGACTACCCGTAGATTCTGAAAATTGTTTCCTTTTTAAGGGCAGACAGATCTGACCAAACCAACCTACACTGATAAAAGACCAAAGATAGGGAGAGTAGACTTTTGTGTTCAGTGTGCAATGTGCGTAACATATTTGTTTCCTTGTGAACATTATCGTCACTGGTGAAAAGACGTACCAAATTGATTCAACACTGACAGTTTTTCCCCTGACATTTTGAAGAAGCTGATTGAACATTCATATTTAGACCATATTTCATTAGGATTTGCAACAATGACATTTTTCATCCTCTACAATAATAGCCTACCGTCACTTTGGAACCTAAAATCACATCTGAATTTCTCAGTTGAATGCCAGTTATACAAGCATACATCAAAGCACAGTTTCCTGGGAGAATGTCCTATGTTTAACCCCCTCAGCTACAACATCATGCAATTGAAATAGACTTCTTCTTTGCTTCTTAGAGTTTTCTTAAAGTTTTCTGTCGCACATGACGTGAACGTCCATCTACATCTTCGGTTTGTATAAAACAGGACCGCCTTTTTTACTGCCTTTTGGTTATTTGCATATAAAATCACTGTTCCTTTTGTTAAAAGTCCTTACAACTCATTAAAGTACGCATGTAACTTTGTTATTGTGTTCTTTTACAGAAAGCACGCTCAAGGAAAATGCCTTTTGTCCATAAGATTACACCAAAACATGAAACCATCATCACATTTTAGGGTGTTTACTTTGTGGAGCCGACATCAATGAAGTGAGTCTGTTTGTTTCCTATTAGTTTAGTTTGAATCAGTCTGACGCACTTATGACAGCTTACATTACAATGTGTTCCTGTGGCCTGAACCCTTTTGGTCTTTTGTAATGATGCTATTTCTTTCTGATGTCTGAGAACTGATGCAGAAGTCTACGATGTCTTAAAATGTACACCGTACTACAGTACAATTTAAATCAACTCTCTTGGCATAAATGTGAATCTTACCAAAGCTCAATTACATATGGAATTATTGCATTTTAACAATAAAACTAAAAAAACAGTACAATCCATTATGAAAAGCATTAAAAGGTACTGCTGAATAAACAGTAGCCTATACAGATGAATACGGAGACAAATATTCAGTTCATCAATAGTGGATTCAAGAAAACATTTAGTCTCCCTCCATACATTATTACTGACCTAAGACTTTTGTATTCGTCTTGGGCTCCCTCTGCTGGGTCTGCATAAACACAACACAAATCACCATCAAAGCTTCAGCTTAAGCTACACACTAACTCTGTTCACCATGCAGTGGCGGACTGGCCATCAGGAGCACTTTTCCCGGTGGCCTGGCCGCCGAACTGGCCCGCTCGGCGATTGCCGATGGTCGGGACCAAAGGCTCGGTTCGGGTCGCGCTTGATTAGACACAATCCGCCCCGTGGCGGCCTCAATTAGGAGTATCGTGCGCTCTCTGAAGCCGAGCACAGCACCTGCACTGCAAACGCTGTCTGGGCACAACCACACCCCTGCCTCTCCTTTTTCTGAGGCTCCATGTCACCAGCACTGCAGGCGCCACACACACACTTGATTTTTTTTTCATGTCAGTGCTTTTCTCAGTGAAACAGGTTTTTTACAAGTCATTTTGTTTCAGTATCACTGAGTCAGTTTCAACTTTCTGTTTGGCGTCTGAGACGCGGAGGGGTCTGAGGGAGGGGCAAGGTAAGCGTGGCTTTGCAATAATGTTCATATCGGCGCATCCACACCCTGACAGAAGCTACGTCTCTTTATCCGGCAACCGCTGGCTCCGCTCTGAAGCCGCCCCTCTGGCATTGGTGGCATGTACCAACATGTCCCTGTCTCACCGCGGATCCTTCCAGGTCTGAATGCTGAATAAACATGTACATCAGCAGCAGAAAACACAAAACAGACACTTGCGGTTCTGGAAACTGACTCCCTGAAAAAATGAGTCATACGAAAAAAGAACATCTGAAGAATTTCATGAAAAAAACTAACACAGACGACACACCACCTCAAAAGAAAATAATATCCAGATTTCAAGATTTTAATAAGTTCCTTTTTTGCAGTGCCATATTTGTCATCAATTGCCCAATCACACACTGTATTTCAAGTACAAACTGTTCAATGCCAACTGTTTTCCCTTTTTTTTTTAAGGTATTGGTTCTTGTTCTTCAATGCCAGTTTCCTTTTTCTGTCTGGATGCCAAAAATCTCTTTAAGTCACCGTCCCTGCGCTCATAACACCGCCAGCCCAAGTAGAAAGTGGGAAGCAGGCAGGGAGAAGCTTAAAAGCCCCAACAAGCTGAACCCTGGAAAACAGATGCAGTGACGGTCGCTGTTAACCGATATACGTGACCTTGTTACGCGGAGCAGCGTAAGACATTAAATCACTCAGCCTACGTGGCTGACAGCAGCGCACAAACCTAT